CGTGAAACAGATACCATTAGTTAGTGTGTAATAGTGAAAGGACAACAAAAGAACACAATGGAATTGGGGTCTACTAACTTGTATTAGGCTGGTGTGTATTTCATGGGTTTATGAAAAACCACTATATAAGCAACTATACCATGTAACAATACTGATACAAACAAAAAAAATTAGGTGGAAAATGGACATAATAGAATTTAAGTAATATAATGATAATTACCTAGTGACACATTTACAGTATGAGATTAGAGCAGCGTGCGCAAGGTGATTGAGATACAGAGTTAAATTTGTTGAGGAAAGGAGAGCCTACCTGACAGTAGAGAAGGGGGAACAACAGAGACACTCGTAGGTCAACCTATAAGGGGTACCTGAAATTTTAACTATGGAGGCAGCATTAAATTTTTAGAATTATCAGAAACTTGGATTTCTTATCATTCGTTTTGGTTCTTCTGTGGTGACTTTGCTTGTCTACATTATAAGCCTCATTTCAGTATAGCTTGACTTAAAATAAGTAATCAAACCTCTATTGATTAGACACCTATTGATCGAGCWGACACACACTGAACAAGATCCCCAATACAATAGAGGTACCACTGTATGTACTGTAAAACAAACCTATCTATTCAGTGGACACCAGGCAAGGTCCTGAAGGTTTCCAATYAATTAATGCTAGTATAACGGATTCGGTACGACAATATATTTAACAAATTTAGAAGTAAAAACCACATGTAATAGATCTCCATGCCGTCCAATTAAGAAAAAAATGATGAGGMAAACTCAGAGGACTGCCAAAATTGGACAAGACTGTCAGCGGAAGGGGTCCAATTCAACAGTCAGGAAACTCTAGTCTAATTATTTGTTAATTATGAGCATGGGAATTTCATTCCCTATTAATATATAGCTACTTATTAACCATAGGTAAAAGCYGATTTCTTCTTTAATCTTTTGGATTAATAGGTAGCTATACATTAAGGGCCACGTGATGWTCATTTCAAGGCATGAAAGGAAAAGCAGAGGGATACTATCACATCTTTATTACAGCCATTATCTTAATGAGTACATTGTCTATCTTATATTTAAAAAAAAAATTAGTTAATAAATAAATCAAAAACTATACAATATACACTCTAACATGTGGCTACACCAACCAAGGCCACCCAGACAAATTTTTATAGAAATTAGCCAATCATGATTGAGTATTTAAACAACAGAATCTGTACATATTTTTTCCTTCAAAAACAATTTTACTTCATTTGGATTGGATTAAAAATCTGCGAGTGTATATCATATATCCATGAAAAACTTGTGAAATCCATGAAATTGCACAAATTTAGTAAGTTCAGTAGACCATTACCTACAAAACTTTGGACTTATTTGTATAATTTTGTAAGATACCTTTTTCACTTGAATATATATGTATATACACTCTACCAAGTATTTTCTTAGAGTACAAACACTAAAAGCATGAAATACTTTGACTATTTATAAATAAACAGCACTAATTAATCAATAGGAATACTTCTAATAAACTATAAAAATATAAGTAA